ACTCATCTGGTTACCATTTTTCTGATCGTGTGAGTTAGGGCTAACATGTATACATTGAAGCCCTTATTTCTATGTTCCAGATCTGGCTGGGAATTCAGAATAGAGCTTGAAGCGTGGAACCTCATTCTCTCCTATATGCCAAGATTTTTTAGATGCTTAGCCTAACTGAATTCGATGGAAACGCAAATCTTCACAACTTAGGGATTTGTATTACTTCAAATAAGTAATTACTGAAATTTTGTTATTTATCTAGTTATTAAAAGACATTCACAGAGCTTCTGTGATGGCTAAGCCATGTTTCAGATTAGCTTGCGGATTGCATGCCCACTATGAATTGAAGGATATATTTTTTCTTTAACTGAATCTTTCCCAGCAGACACGAGCTTCTTCTTGTGAAGCTAGCCCCATAATCACTCCGGACAATAGCCCTCGTCTTTCACGCGGTCGAGCTCTTTCCCCTTCGGATCATTCATCGCAGCAACAACGTGCAGGCCACTCTACTGGGAAAAGGTCCGAAATCCTCACGTCTGAGTCCATGATGCATGCGCATACTTTAGGCGCCTTATGCTCTAGTAGTCCAAACGCAGAAAATTTAAATTCAGCCCGGAATTTCCCGACCGAAGACCAGATTCACAGCCAAACTCACTTGGCAGAGGCTGCTATAGACGGGTCCGGCTCCGAAGCTGCCGCTGGGTACAATTCTACCACCAGCCGGCGATCAGTGTTGACTGAGCAGAGCCTCACTCAGATGCAAGCTGTCGAATTTGATGAGAATGCTAGTGTATGTCCGGTTCCTGAAAAATCTCCGATTTCAGAGACGGGCGCCCCGGTTTCGAATAAGCCAGATGAAAACCTCCACCCCGCTGGTATTTGGCTTACTAAGCCGAATTATTTCACTCTTCCTACCTTGGATGAACTTGCCGGGATGATAAACGCTGATGGGCGGTGTGTAGTCTCAGATTTCGTCATAGGAAGGCGAGTGAGTAACAAGTTTTCTACAATTTTTCTTTAATTGTATATCCTTATCATAATTGCAGCGTCATGCAAGAAAACTCATTTTTTGGGCTGGGCTGTACAATTTATCGTATCTTTTAATCATTCAGTTGTTTGTTCACGAAGAAGGCAAGCTCTTGCTGCATAATTTCACAGTCCAACTATCTTGAGAGTAGGCTGGTTCTGGCTAATTGAAAGTTTGTCATCAGTCCTACTTGGAGTTGAAATAGGAGTTTGATATTTCCATTTGTTTCCATTCTCTTTTTTTTGCCTTTTTTGACCAGCACGTGCTAGTCTAACATTGTTCCACTTTAGATAAACAAAATATACAAATATTAATAATAATAATGTGGCATTAGCTATAGTCGCGTATATTTAAGTTTCATTGATTTGTAAAAATACCTGCTTCTGGACCGCAGTTCCCCAAAACTATCAAAAAGTGCAGTGCACAACTGCTCATTTGAGCTAATTTTAGGTCATGACCACTTCTGCCAGTCCCGGTTCGTGTATACTTAGCCTTGATTCACATAGTTTATGCATAACTTTCTTTAGGCTTGCTGGATCACACAAGTTCTTAGCTGATACCAACTGATATACTAGTAATAATCATATTATTATATAGTTCCCTAGTATTATTTCGTCTCTTTTTCAGCATGGTATTTATCTTATACTGATCGAATTTAGCGTGGTTTTCACCTGAACCACAAATAACATAAATCTTTGGATTTTTACTTAGATTTGAAAAATTAAATTAATATATGAATTTTTGGACTATTTCTGCCAGAAAAGCAATTATAACAGATATTTACTAACACTGAATTGATTACTACACTATTTCTCGGCCATTTATTTATATGCTCTTTCAGCATTACGGGCATATTATTTTTCCTGGAGAAACGGATATAAGTAACATTGATCTCGACAAAGTCGTCCACATCAGGCGTCGCGAAGTTACTGTGTACCCCGATGATGATACGAAGCCACCAGTTGGTTTTGGACTCAATCGACGCGCCGAAATTTGTCTTGAAGCGGTGTGGCCGACAGATAAGACTACCCGCAAACCAATCAAGTCACCTGAGCGACTTTCGCATATGGATTTTGAAAGACGTCTCGAATGTGC